TTAGCATCACATGAGAACCCACATACGGCTTGATTGGGAGACTAAAAATATATCATATTCTTTATACGATTTGGTACATACTTTAACTCCCATCAATGCTTCCTCTACTTTAACATGCCAAAATCAACTCTTTTTTCATTGCAATTTGCAATATTTCTGATATAAATGTAGCCACTAGCACATGTCTCATAAATGAAAGATAATTCCCTACAATGATGCATATAGTACTAATAAGTTGAATGCAAAATCCATTAATCATTGAAGTAGTCTCCAACAACTACCCAAAAAACACCATATAAATCTGCAACTGACCTATTTTCACTAAGACTAACATTTGCTAACTAATATAGTGGATATGAAATCAAAATCATATTAATTTTTTTCCTTCGAGCAATCCAAAATAATGAACTATGACAAACTCTGATGTGATACTACCAGGACTTAGCGAGAAATTAATAAGAGCAGTTGTTTAAAGCTTTCCAAAATAAATTTATCGTTCGCAACAAAGAAAGATTTTATAAATTCGTAGTTTTCAACTTGCTTAGACAAAGAAATGCACTTTAGATTAACCAAGACATGTCGATCAAACTTCAAAGACAAGAGTAAGTTTTATGAGCGCAATAACAAAAATCCACAATCTAATAATGAGAGGTTTCACCTTGATGACCTCCTCACTCAATCACTCGTGGGGTTAGTGGAAGAAGATGTTCCACACTAGAGAAGAGATCACCACTAGGAAGCAGGAGCACCAAAACTTCGTTTATGGAAAGGTAGCCGGCGACGGATGGATTGTTGGACGTCCCACGATCACCCACGATCCGATTGGGAGGTGTTCCTCAACTGACAGTGCCAACGTGAAAATGATGTGTTCTATGTAGTCTTCTATGTAGTCATCGACGTCCAAATTAAAATCGAAGAAGAGAGATCGGAGGATGTCGGTTCAGCCTTGAGAATCCTCTACGAATCTGTGATCAATGGCGGGGTCGGCCATGCACTAGCAAAGGTGGAAAAGGGTTGAGTTCTTCTCTTCTAAAGAGATAAAACTCATGAGAAAAGCAAGCTCAAGAGAGAAGGGGAGGAGTGGCGGTCAGCTAAGGAGGAGGGGAAGTTGTTGGGCTAAGATAGGATTAGGGTGGTGTAAGGGTGTGGGCTCCGAAAATTCGGTCCCGGCCTCCCCGCCGCGCTGATTTGTTTGTTCTTTTTGTTTGGCGAGAGGAGTTTTAATGGAATAAGTTCCGAGGAAAAGTTTGAAAGGCAGATGGGTTTGTAGATAAGACACTACCCTGAGATTTCTCCCTCATTTTGTTAAGACTTTATGATCTGAGTTTTTGTTTCCTATAGGCGCAAGCCCCTATTATAGTTAATTACCTCTCCCGATCACGGGAGAGAACTTTTGATTAAGGCTAGTCGTCAATCAGATACGTAGAGAATACGTGTTATCTGGCATATAGTAGCAGCATAGATTTGGATTTGGGGATGGGTTTGAATTTGGGTATTTGGAAAGGCTTGGAAAGTTTGATATTTAAAATATGAAATTTCACCACATCGCACTTAAAGCGAATGGTGGGGGAATGGATGTTGGACCCGATAAAGATCCCATGGTTCCGTCGTCCCGGGCCATCGTGGTCCCTGGTCTACTTACTTAGAGGAGGTAGTCAACCCAACCTGACAGAAGGATCCTTGTAGTTGCCTCCCGGCGTCTCCCCTATTTAGGGGAAAAATACGAAAAACTGGGTCTTTCCCACCACATGCAATAAAGGCATGCATGGTAGTTGCCCTCATTCGAGGACACCGCGGCCGTGAACTTTCTTCTCACCATACGCAATAAAGGCGTGCATGGGGTCTTTGACAGTACCTGTTACAAGAAAAGAGCAGTTGTTTCCCCACAAGTACAGAGCCGCGTACGAGTACTTAAGAGTTATTCCGGCCACACTAAGAAAAGCGTGCACCAGGCTTACCTGGCCTCGTTGTATGCGGCGCATCGGATCCCCTCCTACTACGTTAAGAAAAGCATGCATAGGTGGTTGACCGGCTCGTCGCACACACCAAGGATAGAGTTTCTGGGGGCCGAGGGGTCGCTCGCCTACCTTGTCATAGGTGTCGCACCGGGTTCCCTCCAACCACGCTCAATAAAGACGTGCATATGTGATTTGTCAGCCCGACATGCAAGTCGAGGCAAGAGAGGGAATATTTATAATTAATTATTATCATTATTATTATTAACTAATTAGAATTAATTATAATTAAATTTAATTAATTAAAATTAATATACAATTAATTATATTAATTATTATTAACATTTAATTAATCATGTGATGATTAATTAATAATAATTATAATTATAATTATTAATTAAATGTAATTAAATTTTAATTAACTATCATTAATTTATAACTAAAATTAATTAATGATAATAATAATAATAATAATAATAATAATAATAATAATAAAAATAAAAAACTCCTTCCCCTCTTCCTCTCTAGTTCGGCCAAGGGATAGGCCGAAGAAGCGCGCTAGGGGGAGAAAGTTACCCTCACGGCCCGTGAGCTCCTATTTTCCCGTTGTTTCCTTTCTCGGTTCGAAAACTTAACACTTGCTTCCGATCCTACAAGAAGGGAATGTCGAAGGGGAAAAGCTGAACGACCACGTGGAAGTAGAAGAAGCGGTCGAAAAGGAGAAAGTTCCTTCACAGCCGCGAGCTCACGTGACTGTTACCGATCAAAACGTCGGAAGTCCGACCAAACATGCAAGGGAATGATGTCGGAGGAGCGAAGTCGCCCAACCACGAGTGGGTCGAAGAGGCAGCGAGAGGGGGGAAGATCGGGAGAGAGAACGGGAGCGAGAGCTTCGGAGCGGAGGCTGAAGGCCTCGTTCCATTTCTCTTTTATCGGTGCGAGCGGATCGTGCGATGTGGGGAGAAGACGTTGGCATGCGAGTGACGTGCTACCTGCTTCAACGACGTGCGGGATATGGCTTTGACAGAGCAGGTATGATATATTTTTTTTTTAACATTACAGGTCAACAAAGGGATGAATTAGAAGGTCTGAAATTCTATTACAGATTTCAAAAGGGTGGAGGGAAATAATTTGAAACTCAAAATTATTTCCAATTGAAGCCTATAGGGAGGCCAGCGGCATGTGGGGAGAGGGAGAGGGGAATTGGGAGGGAAAGCCAAGTTTCCAAGTTTACAAACTTAAATTAGGGAAGAATAAAATAAATCAAATCTAATTAAATTTTAATAAGACTTAATTTTAGGAACTTTCCTAATTTGAAACGGCTAATTTAGAAAAGTATTTGAATTTCAAATTTGAATTTCAAATTGGATTAAAATCTCTCCCAAATTAAGTGGGCTAATTAAGGCAATAGTTAATGATCATTAAAATCATCATCAAGAGGGCAATGGTGAGGTGGCCGACGGTGAAGCAAGGGGAAGGGGGGAAACCAGTAGGGGGCGGATGAGGGGAGGCCGGCAGCTTATGTAGTTGGTGAGGGTGGCGGGTTAGGGAGAGAAAGGACCAGGGTTTGGAGGCTTCAAGCCGGCGGCCAAGGGCTTGGGCTAGGTAAATTAGATCCACGAATTAAGCACTTTTCTAATATGGATATGTCAATTTAGGAAAGAATTCAAAATATGAAATTGAAATCAGATTTTGAATTAGAGTTCCCTCCTAATCTTCATGCTCCACTTTTAGAAAGAGGCAAGACAATCAATTTTGGATCTATGGGAGGGGAAGGCCGGCGGTTAGGGTTTGGGGTTTGGGTGGTGTTTGGCTAAGGAGGAAGGGATGTGGGTTAAGTGGAAGGGATCGTGTTGAGGTTGATTGGCGGCTTGAGGACTTGAAGTGGCCGGCGGGTGTTTGGGGAAGAAGAGGTGGCCGGATGTAGGAGAAAGGAAGAAACGATAAGAAAATACTACGAGTACTAACCGCGAGTCCCAGAATCCACCGGCGACTGACAGGTGTTGCAAGGCCCTCTCCTAGGATTTCTCCTCTCAAGAACTCACAACGAGATCAAGTAAGAAAATCTGAAAATTTTCATTTATAATCATCATTAACCTCATAAGAGGAAAAAGAGGGCTATAAATAGGCCCCATACAAGAACAAAACAAAAGATCAAATTACCCCTTGAGGTTACATGCATCTAGTCCCTCAAGTGAGGATAAAAACGGAAAAGAACACTAAAATAATAAAATTACAATAAATCAATCAGAAATAAAAGATGCGAACGTAGCCATAGATCTTCGATGTCTCATCGCGCTAGAATATCCTGTAGATGTCCTCATCAAACTCTTAAATCTTGTCTTATCCAAAAATTAAAGAATAATTTGCATTTATCCTAAAATTGTATATTTAAATTTTGCACCGAACCTCATAAAATTATCTAGTCAAGTATCCTATTAATTACTCTTCCGCTAGCTCAAAGTGACAGAGTAAGGCTCTTAATGAGTGTTACTAGATGATATCAAAAAGCTTCTATTTATGGGGAGCTTGAGGTTGATGTGAAGGAATCTAATGTGAGAAAAAAGATTGCTATGATACACATTGGAATAAGAAATACTTCCACAACATAACTTAAACAATAGTTTTTTCCTAGTATACTAGTCTTGGCCCTTGCCTATTGTTTTAGTCAATAGATATCTATTCATTAGTATATTAAGTGTCAACTTAGGCCCTCAATATTCCCTCAACTTAGCTTATCAACATTTGCTGATTATTGAAGATGCTGAAAACTACTTCAAATAAGCTAAAGTTTTCAAAATTTAACAAGAATTTATTTCATTCTAAAACATAGCTTATCAATAATCTTTAAGCCCTGAATGTTAGGAGCTCCACTCCCATATTGCTTGGAAAACAAATAATATTCAATAACAAAAGTAACTGAATAGCATTAAGACAATTTGTTTGAAAAAAATATAATTATTGCTATGAACTTCATTAATATCTGCAAAAAAATAGAATTGTATGGATCATCAGAGTGAGGAGACCAGTTTTTTGTTTAAGTACCAGAATAGACGGTTTCCCCGTAGTCAAGATCTCTGTGCAAGTCATTGCTCCAGCACGAGAGACAACAAGATCGGCTGCTGCATAAGCTAGATCCATAGCCTGCAGAAAACTTCAAGTTTGGTAACATGTTAATTTCAGAACTAAAGTAGTGGAATAAATGCTAAAACAAAGAGAAGGGCATATTAAACAGATGATCTCAGCAAATTCCTGTTTTTTTAGTTTAATTTCTCCCAAATTTAAGGAAAGCTTGAGCCATGAAATACAAAATGCAATTTCACACTTGAAAAAGTAAATAAATAAATAAACAAAGAAACAAATAAAAAATAAATAAAACAGGAAACAAAACAGAAGCATCAACGGTAAGGAATCAATGCATGGAAGACTCACGGGGTCAGAAGCAACCGGCGGTGATTCTTGACCAAGCTCTCCATCTCATTAAATCCATCCTTCCCTGTTTGCCATATTATGAATCTGTTTCTATGCTTCAAAAGCATATCATAATACATATTAAGAACAGCTACATTGATGGGATTCGCTCCTTGTGATCCGCCAAGCACGAGTACCACCTGAGCTTTCTCCTCCATAAGCTTCACAGCATTAGGGAAGAAATGCGTCCTCGCCACTGCTTTCGACACATAGCTTCTCAACGAAAGCCTCACAGGATTCCCAAAAACTGAGCATTTCTCATTGGGAAAATGCTTCAAACACTCATTGAAAGCAAGGAAGACCTTCGAGGCGAAGGGAGAGGCTATCTTATTGGCGATCCCCGGAAAGGCATTCTGTTCCTGAATCGCGATCTTCGTGCCAGATAGCACAGCGGCGAGGTAGACTGGCGCGGCAACGTATCCGCCTGTACCGATTACAACATCAGTGCGGAAGCGGCGGAGGATTTGCCAGGCGGCGGCGATTGCGTGGATGACGTGGAAAGGGAAGAGAAGATTCTCAGGCGAGGGAAAGGGGCGTGAGAGGCGGGAGGCTGGGATGGCGGTGAAATCATAGCCGGCGGAAGGGACAATGTTGCTCTCTAAACCTGCAGAGGTTCCGAGGAAGAGGAACTTCGCGTCAGGGCAGAGGCTCCGCAGCTCGTCGGCAATGGCGATGGCTGGGTAGATGTGACCGCCGGAGCCCCCTCCTGTGAAGACAAAGCGGATGGAAGAAGCGACAGTATTGAATGAAGGAGATGAGATGGCCGATGCGTCTTGATCGCTTTGGCTAATGGCGAAGCAACAGGAAAGCAGGAAATTTCGGCAGCTTCGGTGACTTGAAGGTGTATAACTGCGGCGTCGAGGGCTTTGATTTGGCTGGAGGACGGAGTAGTTTATCTGTTGAGAGGTGGAGAAAGAGAACGAAAGAGCTTGAACGGTGGCCATATTGGAGCTGGCGACTGAAAGATTGAGTCAGGGAGTTTATGTTGAGCGTTTACTGAAGAAAGGAACCCGACGACTTGGAACAGCCGGTGTACGGTGCATGGATTGCTTGTGTACGGTGCATGAATTGCTTGTGTTATAAATAAAATAAAATACACAACTCTCCTTGGCCTATTGGTTGAGAGCTTAGGCTTTCAACTAAGAGGGCCAAGGTTCGAGTCCATGTGTATGCGTTATGTGTATGAGTTTGACTTAAATGGCCTAAATGTCCCAAAAAAAAATAAATAAAATAAAATACCCAAAAAAAATTAAATAAAAGAGGATTCATATATAAACTATAAATATTAATGTTTACATATTTAACATATATATATATATATATATATGTGTGTGTGTGTGTGCAGGGGGGGGGGCAAGCTTATAAATAACTGTCGCGGGTGCAAGGGGGCAGCGCCCCCACCGGGGTTCGACCTACCCGGTCAGGTCGCGGGATCAAGGAGCAGCGCCCTTGCGGGGGTTTCTGGGGCAGTGCCCCCGGAACAAATTTTGGTTGTAAGGATATTTTTGGAATTAAAATTTAAAAATAAAATGATGAATGCTCTTTAATATTTGTTTGGGGGCAATTGTCTAAATATCATAGTATTTTAAAAGTTTTAGGGGAGGGCAATTGCCTAAAAACTCTTATAATAAAAATTAAAAAACCTTAAAAACTATACAATAAAAAAAAATTATTTTTTTAAGGGGGGGCAATTGCCCCCCCTCACCCAAAGGTGGTTCCGCCCTTGTGTGTGTGTGTGTGTGAGTGTGTGTTGCAGGCTAGTATATGCACGGCGATAGAGTTAGAAATTTTCGTTTTAGCGTTATGCGGATATCAAGTACATATACAAAAGAAAAATAAAACACCAGAATTTTTACGTGAAAATCCTAGAAAAGGAAAAAATCACAGAGTCATGCCCAGTTGAAATGATTTCGCTAGTGTTTGATTCATCCTTGAAATTGAGGACAATCAGATTACAGTAGTAAACAATCGGATTGAAATCTTAAGGTTGGATGGAAGTCCAGAGTCAGATCATGCCCGGTTAGAAATCTGATGTTAGTTGACAGTCGGGCGGAAGTCCAGTGTTCTTCGATAGCCAAGCTAGCAGAAGTCCGGTGAAAATCGGTGGTTGGGCTAAAGTTCGGTGGAAGTCGAGGAGGAGCCTGGTGGTAAGAGAACTCTCTTCCTTCTTTTCTTTCTCTTTTGCTTGGGTTCCCCCTCATGAGAAATGAGAGATCTATTTATAATTTTCTGAGAGTGGCATGGCTAATATATAGGAGGAAGAGCAAATATAAATTGAGAATGATTTGACTAAAAAGTTGCTTTATAATCCAGTAAGAAAGCTATCTCAAACGAAGTCTTAATTGTATTATTTTATAAAAATTAAAATATACAATATTTTATTTAAATATCCGAGTTTTTAAAATGCAAACTACTCTATTAATAAAAGAATGATAGTCCTCACCAATAGTCATTTATTTTCTAAATTTTTTTAACAGTAAACAATAATATCATTCAAATTTATTATATATAAAAAACAAATATCTTTGATCATTAACTCACGAATCATTTTAAAATTATATTTATTTTATATTTAATAAAATTAGACTTTTGAGTTTTGCCTCTATTAAATAATAATAATAATAGTACAGTGATGTGATGCAATGGAAAAAATGTAGAACACGCATTCCTTTCCTGCGATCACAAGCCAATCAGTACTAGCAGGAGGAACATTGTGAGAACTTAGACATCGGTTTATGTACTCTTGAGCTTGAACATGCACGTTTAAACTTTTTTTTTTTTTTAAGAAATTATTATGTGTAGATATCGGATAGAGAGAATAATTTGATTTTCTCTTTGTCTATAATAAAAGCGCAACAGCTATGCTTTTACTGTAGAATGAGAGAACATCAAACAGTTCTCTCATCAGGTTTCCTCGCACAATAATTCATCTTCTATTTGGGACATTTAGGCCTATTAAAATTTTATTTGGGACAATTTTCTTAATGTTTCTTAAGAAAAAATCATGTCAAATAAAAGTTTTGTTTGAGACGACTTTCTTATTGCATATTAAAACAATTTTTAGTACAAACATTAAATATTTTGTAAAAAAACTATTTTAAGAAATAAAAGAAACTCATCCCAAATGAAGCTGAAGCCTTAGACAAATTCACACATACATCATATATTCAAGACTAGAATCCAAGACATCTTACTTGATAGTGAAAACACCGAACCAATTGACCAAAGTGAGCTACCCATTTGGTGAGGTACAGTATAGGTATCAAATATGTTTTACCTGCTCTAATCAAAATTCACAAAAATAAGAGCAAGTTCACGACAATTTTATGAAGCATAAATAAAATTATTGTATGGTTGAATTCCACTTATCACGTCGTGCAATAGGTGATTGTGAGGTCACTCCATAAATGCTAATAGAAGAACCTATCATATTTTCATTGATCTATAAACATTGTCTAAAAACACCTTACGAGAGATCTACTAAAGCATAGTTAGCATTGGGGAGCCTGCAATTAAAGAAATAGTCCTACATTTAAGTTATAGGTAAAGTCAAATGAAGTATAACATTGTTGTATGCATATTTGGACCTCAGAACAAGATGCATTGCTATGGAAATTACATGCTAAAGCCATGAAAACACATAGTTATGAGGCTTGAGAGTTTCTAACAATTTCTAGATGAAACTTTATAGAGGAAAGATTTGTAGAGATAGATTGCCATTTAGTGAGATCTCACTTCCTTGAAATGAGGTACAATTATATTTTGTGCGATAAGTTAGCCATTAAGATAGTCAATGATAATAAGCCTACAATAAACTATGACCATGTCATACTATATCATCAGTAAAACTCCCATAGAATGGTTTCCTATTAGACATTTATGATAAGCTTACAAATCATTCATCACTGAAAGGTAAGAAGTTCTTATCTAGTTTAGACTAGTAAGAGCTATAGTGATAATTTGAGTATTACATCGGATGTTGTCCCACACAAATCTAACTCCAATCATGCATACATATGTTGGGCAATGAGAGAAAATTTGAAAGTTAAACTTTAATAGTTATCAACAAATGAGAGTTGTGTATGCTCTAAATGATTTCTTTAATGTGTTATCATAAATTAGTCTACAATATTAAGTTCCTTATTAGTTAATATATCTAAGTTCTTATGATTTTATCATGAATTTTGGCATTTATTTTATTTTTTTTTAGTAGTAAGCTAACGAAAATGGGGAGTAACCCTTCACGGTTTAATATGTCCGAACAACCACTCCTTAAATTATGCTAAGAAAATGTAATATTTAAAATAATTGAAAAACAGATAAATTTCATCATCTCTAATTTAAAAAAAATGCTTACATGAAATTATCAAATATCAAGCATGTGAAAACTAATAAAAAAACTACTACTAGTCTTGTGCACCTAGGGGGTATTACATTTGTCCCTAAGGTTCAATGCTATGTGTTGCGAATCTGATTTAACGGAATATAATTTTTTATGATAGCAAACACTTCTATTTCTCTATGACTGCTTTGCCTACTAACGTTTTAGGTCCACAAGATCAAACTGCAAATTGAATCAGCTCAAGATTGGGTAGATTAGGACTGAGTTAGTTTGTAATGTACGACAAGTGTCTTTTACCTTTTCTTGAGTCCATTATAACATTGTGTGTCCTGATGTTAAGTAACCTTGCACACATACACACACTTGGGGGAAATTTTTTTATCTGTTTGATTAATATTTTCTATTTTCGATCACATGATCCGGGACAATCCAAAAATTGGCCTAGACGATCAGTTAAAAATATAAACCCTAATTAGGACATCCTGGTTAAGGAAGCCGTAATTAAGCGCATCATCCTTGATGATATTATCATCAGCTGGGATGATAGACTCTAATCAGAAAGAATCAGCCACGAGATCTATTTAGGCATCTTTTATTTTTAGACATCATCAAGGGCATCGTCCTAGACGATATAGTAAAATTATGCCTAAATTAATATGGTAATTAAGAAAAAATAATTAAGGTTTGATTGCTCAATTATATCGGCCTAGACAATCGTAGAATAGTCCGGGATGATTAGTTTACAAATCGTAGTTCTTTCTGAACGATCAAACATTGTCCTGGCTCCATTCAGGATGATACTCTGAACGATATGTACTGAATTGAACTAATCATTCGTGATAATCATTAGATCTGCCTGGACGATCAAGTTATTTTTTGCGTCGTCCAGATATCCATTCAGGATGATGTTCTTAACGATATTCCTCGTTTTGTGCTAATCAGTCAGGACAATCGTGAGATTGTCTCGGACGATCTAATTATTTTTCCATCGTCCAGACATCCATCCAGGGCGATTGTCTGGATGGGCGATTGTATGGATGATACTCGTCGAGTTGAACTAATCGTATATGATGATGTATTATCATCCTGGATGATATTTGACGATTAGTTACTAATTAGGGCTAATTTTGAGCCCTTGTTTAAAAATCTTTTATTTTATCTAGAAAATATCTTTTGTTGTTGTCATAACCTAAGAGAGCCAAGAGGAGAGGGAGGCAAGGGGCATAGTCCTAGACGATATAGTAAGTTATAGCTAAAGTCAAATGAAGTCTATCATTGTTGTATGCATATTTGGACCTCTGAACAAGATGCATTGCTATGGAAATTACATGCTAAAGCCAGAAAACACATAGTTATGAGGTTTGAGAGTTTCTAAATATTGCTAAATGAAACTTTATAGAGGAAAGATCTGTAGAGATAGATTGTCATTTAGGGAGACCTCACTTCCTTGACATGAGGTACCATTAGATTTTGTGCGATGAGTTAGCCATTAAGATAGTCAATGATAATAAGCTTACAATAAACTATGACCATGTCATACTATATCATCAGTAAAACTCCCATAGAATGGTTTCCTATTAGACATTTATGATAAGCTTACAAATCATTCATCACTGAAAGGTAAGAAGTTCTTATCTAGTTTAGACTAGTAAGAGCTATAGTGATA